TATTACACAAGTAATAATTTTTTACCTTAAATGACATTAGTATAAATAAAACTTCAAAGAACTTGGGCTTAGTCAAATAATGTTATAATTCTAAAATAACTACTTCTTGTCTGATATGTGATGTATTTTTTATTGCTTTTTAAATAAGTAGAATCTGATTTGCCACAAAAATATTATGAAGGGAAACAATTGCATGCTAATATTTATAATTTTAAAAGACATTAAAACTATCTAGTGGTAGAAAGATTGAAATAAATAGAACGATAATAAATATTATTAATATTTAGAGTAGACACTGTAAAACCATAGTTCATCTTCATTCTGTTATAACATCATCTTCATGTTGTTGATAAAAAAAAACTTTTTTCACAGATAAAATGAGAACAGGGATATGGAGTTACAATCCATGAATATAGAAGACATTGGTAACATCCTACAACCACCCCCTATACCTACCTATGCACCTGTAACCCCTGCCATTTCCAGAGCGGTATCAACAATTACTATGGCTAATTATGAGAGTGCTGCTTCTACTTCCCGTCACTGTATTTTTAAGTTATGTAATCACATCTAGATTTTTAATACCTAAACTACTTAAAGAGAGATTGCTGATTGATCACTCATTTTATGTGCCACTATGCACTTGTATTTGTGAATACGATTTAAATGACGTGTGAATAGCATTTAAATGATTGGAATAATTTGTACACGAGTAGTAACTGTTCAGATTTCACTGCATCTCAGATAGACAACCTTGGTTCCCTACTTAAAAGTAGTGTTACTCAAAATTATAATATTTTAAATATCATTGAACATAATTAAATATTATGCAAATATTGGTTAGGATTTACCAACTACCAATTTGAACAGTTACTAGTTGAAATTCCATCTATCAGTGAAAGAGTTAAATCACCTGAAAGAAGTCTAACAATGTTCTTAATGAAACTTCGTACAGGTGATAGCAATGAACGCATAGCTTCTCTATTTAATGTAACTTCATCGACTGTGTTCAATCAAATATTGTAAGTCAATGCTTTGAAGAGCAATTCATCCAACTGCATTTAGGGACAAATACCTTATGCATTCAACAAGTTGCTCAATATAACTTGACAATACCAAATGGCTTATTTGATAATCCAGATATGGATCCTGAATTTATGCCAGCCATAGTAATATGCGATGGTACATATGGTTATGTGCAAAAAAGTAGTAATTACTTTTACCAGAAGCAAACATATAGTTTACATAAGTATCGTAACTTAGTTAAGCCATTTTTAATAGTGTGCTGTAATGGTTATATCCTTGATGTTTTTGGACCATATCCTGCAACAGAATCAGATGCTTCTATAGTTATTAGATAATAATAGTCCACTGCGAACCTATTTTAGAGAAAATGATGTATTTATTCTTGATAGAGGTTTTAGGGATGCAATTCCAGTCTTGCAGCAATGTGGTTATAAGGCTCACATGCATGAATCTAAACAAGCTGGTGAAATCCAATTATCAACCATTGCTGCCAACAAATCCAGATGTGAAACTTTGTGCAGGTGGTTGATTGAAATCGTAAATGGGAGATTTAAACGGGACTTCAAATTATTTCGTCGGGAATATTTTAATAATGCATATACTCAACTCATGCTGTACTTTAAAATTGCAGCTTCATTAATAAATCGATTTCATACATTGATCTGTAATAATTTTCATGCTGAGATATTGGCAATTGCTCAAGCCAAACTAAACACTCCAAATAATTTAGCCTCCTATGTAGAAATGCACAACTTAAGTAGAGTGAGAGTGCGATTTGCCAGCATTAATGATAATCTTCCAGAGCTGGATAATTTTCCTCGACTGACATTCCAGGATCTAATTCTGTTTAGTCTAGGAATTTATCAAATTAAACAAGCTTGTAGTTATTACGGGGAGCATGTCAGGGCCTCTGGAGAATATAAAATCGAGGTATACCTGCAATCTGTCCATGATTTTGGTACAAAAAAAAATCCATTGCGAGGTAGGATACAATCAAGGCACACTAGTAAAAAAACTTATTTCACTTATATACTAGTTGACACCAACCCATCAATTGCTAACACTAGGGCTGCTCTTACTGGGTACTGTTGCAACTGTTTGCTAGGCTGACGCACTGTTGGCTGCTGTGCACATGTCATGTCTTTTGTCTGGTTTCTATCTTGGGCATGGCATCGAGATGAGATTGAACCACCTGCACCTTTTTTAGATGATATATTACTTTCAAGTAATGATATTTAAAATGATGAATGATGATTATTAATCTTAATGCGTATTAATATTGTAATATGAATAATGATTTTTGCCATAATTGCTTCACTTGTGGCAACCAAAGTTTTTTGTGGTATTCTATAGGTAGATGCTGTTGCTCATCTCCTGGTATTTTTATTTTGGTCTGTCGACTTTTACGGCACCACACGGGACGAAACGGGATGACAATTCACGGAAGGCCTCTGTAATATTTTACATTATATATTTAATTTAGGAGGCCTTGTTAGTGGACTGTTGTAATGATGATGAATAATGATCACTAAAACTTGTAATTTTTTTTGCTTATTTGAACTATTTCTATTTTACTGTGTGCTTTATTATCTGTTATATATTATGTTACATGTGTAATTTATAAATAAACGCCGAGCAAAGTTGAATTTAATGCTCTGGTACCCTTTTTTTATCTCTTTTAATTGACAACATGCTTCTGATTTCTAATAATATCATAAACGGGCAAGACATTATATTTTAATGTTGTATGGGATTTATACTTGCTAATAATTGAATATTTTAATGAACAAATGGTGCCCGCACTGCACCTGTCTGCTGTGTTATTTTTAAGAGAGGACTTATAAAACGCTGACGATTTTTACAATAATAAATGCATTGATTATACATGATGCTTGGGACTTATTACATATCAATATCATATCATAAATAGACATGTTACCATCAAGTTATTTTGAAAAAAATCCTTTGATATGAAAACACCAAAAATGTTTCTACCTATGTCCGTTATGAACCCATCCAACCGATTTTGATGAAATGTTTATGTGTGTTTGAATGGATCTCTAGATGATTCATATTCACGTATGAACTCGGTAGGTGGCGCTGTTGTCGAAATCCAGAAATCACCCGTGCGAAGTCGGACGGATCGCTAGTAATAAATACAATGTGGCTAAATGACATGTTTTTTGTGCACTAAAAATTATTTCCAGTAGCAATAAGTAAACTGTGGTATCTCTATCCACTACATTCATAATATGGGTTGGCTTAACTGGGGAAATACCACACTTTCACAGGATATCTGTATAAAATAGTAGCTTAATAATAGGTAAAAGTTCCCAAGGTTGATTATACATCTATGTTTTGATTTCTAATTGAGGATAGATGTATGTGTCTATGGGCAACTTGTGCACTACGTGAAGCTCATGTGTGAACATTTCCGTGTCCTAATTTATAACAATTTTCGTCACGGCTTATCTCAAGATAAATGTCACAGCGAACTTGTTTCGATTTATTATTTTGAAACACCGAGTCAAACGACAATATACCGCTGGTATGCCGAGTTCCGACGCGGTCTTCTGACTGACTGTTTCTTCTGCAGGTCGACCAAGAACAGCGGTCACGCCTGAAAACATCGCAGTTGTGCGAACTGTTATATTAGATGACCGTCATGTGACATACGAGCAGATTCAAGCTGTTATCACTATCGGAATGACTGCAATTCAGTCGATATTACATAATGAGCTGTGCATAAGAAAGCTAGTTTCCCGCTGGGCTCCCCACAATTTGTCCGAAGAGCAAAAGGCGGCCCGTGTAGATTGGTGCGGGATTCTCTGCAACGCTTCAATCGAGGGAAGTCAAATGCCGTTTATAATATCGTCTCAGGTGACGAATCATGGATTTATTCATACGAACCTAAAAGAAAACATCAGTCAGCAGTTTGGGATATCGAAGACAAGGTCAAATCAACGAGAGTGGTTCGCTCCCGCAGCGTGTCAAAGAAAATGGTCGCTACGTTTGTCTCGAAAAAGGGGCATGTTGCTACAATTCCTTTACAGGAACGCAGAACGGTTACCGCTAGTGGTATATCACGATTTGTTTGCCAGAACACCAAATTTTCAAATAAGAATTTGAATTAATTAGAGTCACGAACATATTTTTATGCCACTCTATTGATTTATGTTAAGAAACATATTTATTTTATAAAAAATAATTATCATTCAGTTCAATGATAGGTGAAGGTCGATCTTACTTCGGATCTATACTATTATAATATATAATTAAACTTAAAAAAATGCGCTTAGTGTTTGTATTATTAAAATCTGAATTGTTTTGGTTTAAACTGGCCTAAACTTTCGTTATTTATTAGTGGGCTAAAGTGGCAATGGGCCTGTCATATAGCTCGAAAAAACGATAACCGATGGGGAAGAAAGGTTCTGGAGTGGCAGCCTCGTACCGGTAGGCGCAGTGTAGGGCGATCCCCAACTAGATTAAGTGACGACCTGTAAGACATGTAGGAAGTCGATGGATGCAGGTGGCTCAGGACCGTGCTTTTTTACTGGAAAGGAGGCATTCCATCTTACGAGGGAAATGCTGAAACGGCTAAAAATGTCAAATTCAAAATGCAATATATTAAATTTTATTTCATTTATTTTCTGCTTTGTGCAGTATTTATTATTTATAATATTACGGAATTATTAATACTAAAAAATATTCTACATTTATTAGCATAATTTGTAGGTAAACATGTATTTCAAAAATAAAGTTTTTCCTAAAGCGGTTTCCAGCGTGATGAAACTGTCGTGCTGAAGGAGAGGGGTGGCATTGATTTGCTGTCATGAGGGCTGCGGATCCTAATCCCGCACGGAATAAGTGTTTGTATTGCCCACAAAATAGTGTTCCGGGTCTGGATGTTTGTCCTTGTGCAATTTATGTTTGTTGCTTAATTTAAAGAGCGATTTGTTGCTTCTTGGTGACACTCACTGCCGCTCTCTTCGCTCTGATAAAAACCGCACCCAAAAATTCCATCCCGTAATCATTTCCTTCCTTTTAGAACCTTTTATATTGAAGTTGTTAGGTTCTGGAACTCTATACCACTGCAAATTAGAAGTGCAAATTCTATTGAAAACTTTAATAAACTTGCGTAACAAAGTGCACAAGAAGAGTTTTCTCCTTTTTTCTATTTTTTCTTCTCTGCTCCTTAAATAGTCATAGTTAGAGGAATCTAAAAAAATACTAACTAATTATTTTTCCTTACGTTAAGGCCAAATACGAAGAGAACTGGCGAAAATTAATGTATTTCTCTTGACTAGAACGAAACTCTTGACTTGAAAGACCTGAAGTAATTCTAAGCTTTGAAACATTTTTGTAGGTTTGTTCGGGTCCTTCACAAGGTCACCGTCATTTTAAAATTTTAAAATAAATGAATATACCAACAAATAAAAAAATGTTAAGAAATGATATATAAAATTATTGTTCTTCCAAAACTCTGTGAATTTTAATTTAGGAAAAATTCTTTTACGTAAAAATGTTTGTATTGTGATTCCGAAGGTACCTGCTATCTTTATTTTCGATACAAAATATTATTTATTAACATAATTCGTTTTAATTAAAAACACCTAATAATAATATCGTATATTGCCAGATAAAAGTTTGCCGTAATAAATTACCAGGCGCTTCGACGTGTGACGTAAGGTAACAACAGTCGATGTGTCTGTAGCGAAAATCGTTAATTTAGTGTTTTATACGCGTTTAAGTGTCTATAAATGTAAATATGGGTAGGAAAAGAAATAAATGTTACCTAAGTGGTAAAACAAAGAGAGTTTATCGCATGAACGCTGCTCGAATTTTGAGGTTAATACTTATATTTTTGTAAGGTAATTTTTTGTTTGAGGCTGCCTAATACGTTGCATTTTTACTCATTTACATTAGCCAAACTGATCATTTATACTTTTCTAGTTTCAAGTGAGAAACACTAAAAATGTAAATATCAAGACCCAGTCGGAAAAGAATGTACAGAGTAGTGCAAGCACAGAGACCGCAAATAATGTCAGTCAATGTATTGTCCGAAAGCATGGGGTAAGACATAATTAAGAAAAACCGAAATATTTCGGATGTGAAGTGATTGACCAGTCGGAGTAGTCTTGTGAGAATTTACATACACAGTACCTATCCCCACTATGGGGCAATCACCGACTTTTTAGTTTTTTTTTCTTTATTATTCATGCAATTTGCATTACGGCATCTTGTAAGACTCACAAGAACAAACATTTTCAGTTATATGAGGTTCTTTACGTACGATGCACCAATTAAGAAAAAAAAATCGTTATCAATTCAATAACTTTTCGAACAATATTTTATAACGAATAAAGTATAGAATTTATAATCTATAGGAATTAACATTATAAATAAGAAAATTTTATTTAAGAAAAAAGCAATGCTCTCTGTGTTGTTCATTACTCTGCATCTGAGCTAGCTCAGTCAAATATAACCAAAGCCCGTACGGCTTTGATTATAGGTATTATACATGTCTATATAAACAAAGCGTAGGTACTGGCGGCGTGTGGTTGAAAGAAGTATTCGGGATTCGGCCTTAAGGTTTTGATTACACTCACTTGTTTAATCCTTTCAGCACACGTATATGTATGTCTATATTTTTGTATTTAAAATGTATTTATTTAGTATATTATGTATGTATTTATCAATCATTATTTATGTCATGTGTATTTTCCAACAATCTACGTACATCCTTAACCTTTCTCACAGGTCATTTTATACTCTGCAATGTTTGCCTGATATATATGCCTGATATATCTATGATCGCTTCTAAGCGATAAGGCCGCCAATTGTACCTTTAAATATTTTTTTCTCTCTCATATTTATATCTGGTTTACTATAAAGTATATTTCATTCATTCATTCAATGCATTTTTATAATAACTTTTGAGTCATGAAATGTAATTCGTATTTATAGAAAAACGAAAAACAAGATATTATAAATTCATATGACAAAATTTAATAATCAAACAGACAATAATTATTGAAATAACTTGTTTTGAAATATGTATTTAAAAAATTATGTTATTAGGACACGAGGTCATTACCCAGAGTTTCTTGAAAGTTCTTCAACTACGTATGTCCTTAGATTAAGATAGCTAAGAGCTTTACCATATACTTATACTATATACTTACATTTAGTTTTTTGTTTTTTTTGTAGTTGGTCCATGGTTTGTTGGTACTGGGATGGACCAATCATGTGCCATTTTCAGTGCATCTGAAAGTAGGAAAATTATTTAACTTCTTCAAATTAACAGTTAACTACAAGTTATAATAGGATTAAAAGATAATAAAAAATAATTTGATAAGTGTTGAAGGAAAAAGTTTTTATTTAAATATTTTATAACAAATATTTGAAAATGTTAAAATATTAAATAACTAAGTACATTTAGAGTTATAACCGATAGCTGATACCTCTAGCGTTTTGTAATATAATATCGTACACATATTATTATATTACACTTCAGTACTCTTAATATTATGAGTGCAGCAGAAATGGATCGGCTCGGCTGGGAAAAGACCACACCTCCACAAAAATCAAACGTTAAACAGCAATCCAGAGATTATTTGACTAGTAACGAGACATTTCATCTAAGTCAATGCGAGTGGCAAAGCATTTGTAGTTTGATTGTTAATTGAGAATAGGTAGAAGATAAATATAAATTATTTTCATCAAAGAAATTCTTATCAGATTTTTGTTTGTCAAACATTCGTAATACTTCATCAACCATCTTTAAAATAAGATTAATGCATTAAATCAGTGGATTTGATGCTTACGATAATATAACTGTTTACAAAAATTATCTAATGTTACCACATGCGTTATATGGCATTTTTTTATAGGAGAGGATTTATAGGAGAGCAAACGAGCATACGGTTCACCTGATGATTAAGTGACTACCGCCGCCCGTAAACCACTGCAATAGGGCCATTGGAGGTGCGTTGCCGACCTTTTAAAAAGGATTAAGTTCTGTCCGGAAAAATCACCGGCGGTAAACTATTTCACAGGGTGGTCATACGCGGAAGAAAACACATGAAAATGCAATGGGATGTGACACCTCTTCGCAGCGCCAGTGAATCAAGCCGATCGGAAAGCACTCGGTCGTCGACGATTCGAAACGCTCTGTGCTGCATGCGGTTAAGTGAAAGGAGCTGACACTGGGGAGCCCCAGCCTAGAGATGGGAACAGTATTCCATGTGCGGCCGAACCTGCGCCTTGTAAAGTTGCAGGTGGTGTGCTGGCATGAAATACTGTCCTGCTCTGCTGAGCACGCCAAGCTTTTTAGAGACCAATTACGCCTTCTCTTCCAAGTGACCACGAAACTGCACGTCACTCAATGTATCGACGCCAAGGATTCCGATATTGGCTGAGGCAACAAGAGGAGTGCCTTAAAACTGAGGAGATACGAAAAAGGGGTTCTTTTTAGCGGTAAACGCGCAACCTGTTGACTAGATTTAGTCGCCCCCCTATCCGAGACTTTGTTCAATAAAGACTCCACTTCAGACACAAGTTTGTCCTGGTACTCGGTGACGTTTTCCTGAGAAATATTGGCACGGCCGGTGTATAGAGCATCACCAGTGCTGTCATCCGAGTAGCAATGAATGTTACCGATTTGCAATATATCATTGATATACGGAAGAAACAGCGTTGGTGATGGCACGCAGCTTTGTGGAATGACAGTTTTAATAGGCTTTTAGTCGGGGCATGCACCGTCGACAAGGAACTTAATGCTCCGATCTGCAAGAAAGCTGGTGATCCCATTGCACAATTTCTCAGGAAGCCCATGAGAGCTTCTAAAGAAGCGCTTTGTGCCAAACCCGATCGAAAGCCTTCGCAATGTCTGAACTAACAGACTCCCCCTTGGACTCTACTGCTTCTGTCCATTTATGAGTGAGGTAGACCATAAGATCACCAGCTGATCGATCCCAATGAAAACGGTGATCCTCTGGGTACTGCATGAGCTGGCAGTTTATAATGGATTCCGTTACTTTGGAGAACAAGAAGGTGATAGGCCTGTAGTTTGACGGATCTGAGCGGTTGCCTTTTTTAGGGATTGGGTGGATGAAAGCCGTCTTACATGATTTTGGCCCAGGCCCATATTTTCCAGGTCCGGTAGCACTCCTACTTATAACATTAGTGACAGTAATGCTATAAGGAAATATATATTATAGACTTTTGACACTTGATCCGGCACATAATTCTCACCGGCATCACTTGCAAGTACGTAGTACGGCACGCATTACACACCGATTTATTGTTCACACCGGCGTCACTTGCCCCTGCGTTCCCCACCGGCATTAAATATGCAACGGCAATTGGACTGCACTATCAACCTCCGGTCTTAGTAAGGGAGTGATGTGGCGGCACTGTCGTCGCACCACAAGCAAGACAAATCGAAGCCTAAATCGCGATATCAAAGTTTCGAAGTAAAACTGTTTATATAAAATAGCTCCGGAATACTACTCGGAGCGTTGACTGCTCACCGGGCAGAACACCTTGCCTACCTGGAGATCTACTCTTTTCCCTCCACGGCCACATTGGTGACCCCGATAGTGACACGAAGATTAAGATGAGTGATAGCAATGATTCCGCGAAAACGGACGAAGACTATATCTCGCAGTTCACGTACGACATACGATACGACGACTAGACACATATCAGGAAAAGAAAATGTTGTCGCTGACCCACTGCCACGTATCAAAGACTTGGACGTGCTGGTTTCATCTCAAGCCACTGATTGAGAGCTAACTCAAATTCTGATAGATGAATCTTCACTCCGCTTGGAAAAGTTGAGAATTCCTATCAATTTGAACTTTATTGTAACGTCAGCACCTCCACACCTAGGCCTTTTGCTACCAAGCCACGGAGGAGATAAGTTTTTGATAGTCTTCATAGCCTAAGCCATCCAGGTGCCAATGCCATTGCTAAAGTTGTAGCTGAGCGATTTATCTGGCCTTGTGTTGGTAAAGACTGGTCTGGAGTGTTCTAGACTATGTTTAGCTTGTCAGCGCGCCAAGGTTCATCGTCACATATCTTCACCATTAGGCACCTCCGAATTACCTCACGCCCGATTTAGTTTCGTGCACGTAGACCATATTGGTCTCTCCCTATTTCTCAGCGTTATCGCCACTGCTTAACTGAGGTTGAGCGTTTCATACGATGGCCAGAAATCATACCAATGGCAGACATTATACCCAAAGCATTAATATCGTTGATTTCCAGTACCTTGGAAACATGATTGGATTCAAACATCGCAGAACAACCTCGTATCATTCAGCCTGCAACGGTCTAGTGGAACGATTCCATCGTCAGTTAAAAGCAGCCATAATGTGCCATGCTGATAGTAATATGGTAGACACGTTGCCTTCAGTGTTACTGGGCATTAAGAGCTCAATAAGAATGATCTTTGAACCTCATCCGCCAAATTGGTTTACGGAGAGCCTTTACGTTCACTTGACGATTTTTTTCAGGCCATAGCTCCCGACTCAACCGATATATTCGACTTTACCACCTGACTGCGCCAATTACCATTTAAGCTACAAAGCAAAAAATTTTATGCACAAAAATTTATTTACATCAAGTCTTGTATTTTTAAGGGACAATGCATAACTTAGCTACTTGCATCCCCCTAACACTGGTCCGTACCAAGTATTAGAACATAATTCGAAAACATTCAAAATTTTAACAAAGGATAAAAGTGTCTCGGTATCCATGAACCGCCTCAAACCGGTTCATATGCTGATAGACCCATATTCCAAACCTATCCTTACTCCCACTCTCACATCCGACCCCGATCCCGGTTCCTTCCTTGATCCTGTTCACAAAGAGCTTAATGCTCCAGCTGAGGATGACGTTAGAAGGACGCGTTTAGGACGCACAGTTATATTTCCAGATTTTTATCGCCCGTAGTGACGGTCTCCAGGGGGGAGTGATGTAGCCTACTTATTGTATATTATAGGTAGGGTATAGTAAATAATAGTTCTAAAACTCTCCACTACAGCGCTCGAGTAGCTACGGGGTATGTTAAATGGCCGTAAAAATACGTTGAGTGTGATTTTGAAACTAAAAATTTTGAAATCAATAAATTAATTATTGAAAAAAGAATTATGGTGAAAGTTTTACGGTGAAAGAAAAAAAATTATAAGTTCTTTAGAATTTAGACTGTAGCTACAGTGGCGCTACCGTTATTTAACGCTTTCCTACGGACACTTTTTATACAGAGTCTGTACTCCTTACCTCTACACTCCATAGGTTTTAGGCATTGAAGTAATATGTACTTTAAGTACTAGAACAGCTATTGCAACAAAAAATGTGCGCTACTCTGTGTTCGCACGGTTGTTTTTTTTCATAGAATAAACATAGGTAGAACGATTGGTAGGTAATAGTAGATTGTATTGTTTAATAGGTAAATTATATCGAGAACAATTTTTAAACTTCGTCATTTATTTGTATATTATATTTGCTTATTTAATATAATATTACATAATATTATATCACAATTACTTTTTAATCATATTTTTATCTGAATATTTTAAAAGGTATCTTATCTATGTGAAATAAAAAAACCTACTAAATATATGTTTAACAAAACTTAATTTATAATTTAAATTAGAAATATATTTATTTAATTAGAATAAGAGTCGATCATTAATGCTGGGCACGCGAGAGTTAAATTTGACGAATTTATTCCACTTTGACTTTGACGTGGATACCTAAAAATAAAATAAAAGAATAATGAGCAGATTTGAATATAAAAATTAAGCCTAATTATGATAACTATGTATATATAGATATATTCGTCCTATGCTTAAGAACCCATAGAAATGTCGCATCTGAACAAATTAATTTCATAATCTATATTCCATGACACGAAATGGCATCCTAAAAATTATTTCTTTTATTATTAATCTTTAATATTTTTTTATTTACTAAGTATGTTATTAACCGATGAAAATTAATTCCTTGGTTTTTACTGACATTTCTAGAATTAATTGTGCAATATCTAAATACACATGACGGCATATTTTTGTCAAGAGATTTTTTTTAAATCAACACAATACATAACAACTCTACAAGCGCCTAGCGAGTGACTGATCCGATAGGAGTAATAGTGTTCTGTGGTGACTGATTAAAGTGCGGTGCTGTTCAAGTGGTCATCTTTTGTCTCT